AGCGTGCTGTCCCTTTCATCACTCGTGCCGTTGAAGAGATCCGATGTGTATTAGTAGCGAGTATAAATTTCTCTCGTTTCGCGTCAACGACATCGCTTGTCCAGATTTTAAAGGTTTAGAGGGGTTTTACATCGATTTAAGTAACAATCCTCTGAATTGTACGTGTCTGCATGGCCGTTCAGAAAATATATCAGTAGGTAGCCGGTGTTTTGCCTGGACGCAAACTTMGTCAAGACAACAATTCTGGTCAGTACATGTATCGACTTCTTATCGGTCTCAACTAGAAGATCCTGTACAGCCAGTGTAATAATTATTGAATTAGCCTTCAATAGGCAACTTGCAATACAATGTTTGGTTTATATGTTATAAAATAGAAGACGAAGAACTAATCACATGTGCCTTTATTATTTCGAAATGAAATAACAAGAAAGTTTTATGTTTTCAATACCTTTATCAGACCTAATCTTATTATTTTCTATTTTAAACAARAACAAATTGTTAAAAAGYGATTTCTAAACAAATGTCATTTTTGCTTAAAAAGCATGAGTTTCATGTTTTGCCCTGAAAATAAGAACGATTTCGTATTCCTCTARCCCCCATTTTTTCCCTTTTGATTTAATACCCATACGGTAAAGTATAGTCATCTACAATCACTCATTTAGTCACAACTCGAATTTCTTTCGATTCTGTTCTGGATAATACTTCTCTGATTTTTACATTTCTAACTATTTTATTACAAGGATTGGTAACAGTGAATCATGTACGCACGCTCAGTAAAAGAAAAAGCTAAACATCTGACAAATCGTTTGAAGAGATTTTCCTAGTGCATTGATCACAAAAATCATCAGCCTAAAGGTTATAGTTTGTGAGCCGAAATCCTTTACTTTGTTACTGCTTTCTATGATTAACATTTCAGTTGTAACCTATATCGATATAGAATAATTTCAAAATTTACATCATGTTTGACTTGTTTGAAGAAAAATAATTTTACATGACCTGTT